TAGAGATTGATTTCGGGAGCAGAATTTGATGCTTCGTTATCTGTGGTTGGGCCCTGGGCCTTTTCTCTCGCGTTGTAACTTCGCCGCATAAAATAGGAATAGTCTGTCTTCTCTTTCATAATTCATTAGAAATTGTCTGCAGTCTGTAAATTATAAAATACCTCCATGTATATATGGTGTATTGCAATTCTTCCTCATGATTAAGGCTGCAGTTTTATCACAGGAAAAATAACAAAAAGATTGAAGGGCAAGTAATAAAAATTTGCAGAAATTTCACTGCTTGAGATTTACATCAAACATTTCTAGGGAAATTTACTGCCGAGGATTTTAACTAATATTTCGGGGTTGGAGGAACGTAAACCAAAAAAGGAATAACGACACAAATAACAAATATATAATCAAATAAAATTTATAACATACATTTTTCAACTGAAATTTATAAATCAATAAAATTCTGGAATATTTATTTCAAAATTACTGGTTCAATTACACGGTGTCTTATGCATTACACCATACATGCACATATACGCTTCATTAGAGAGCTCGTTTTTAAAAACAGATCCTTTGGGGTTTGACATTGATAAGTTATTGCAATGGATGGTGACTTGATGTAATTTTAGGAAAGTTTTTTCTTCATATTCCAGAAGTCCAACAGAATAACCTGAAATTTAATTTTCTAATTGGATTTTGATTACTCTAAGTTCCAGTCGTCTAGTGAATTTTGGAACATAGTATTATTTTGCAGTGTATTTTTGCGGAAATTTAATGGAGATTTTCACTTATAAATAAACGTAAATAACATAGAAGTTATTTAAACATAAAAAGTAGTCTAACAATTATAATAGAAAGTTAAAATAATATATTAAAAATTCGATATTAGTGAAATTTTAGAAAATTTGCTTAAATTCGAGCATATAATCACAGAAATTCGACCAGCGATGAAATTACTACCTTACCTCTTAGCTAATATCCCCCCTTTCTGTAATTATAACCACCCTGTACAATGAAAATGCCTCAATTAAGCAATATTGTTCCATCATCCAACCAGATAAGATATCAAGAATGATGATATGCGATAAACCAGTTGCGTCATTATTCACAAACTGTTGAAACACTAATAACCACCTGTCTTCTGTCATTACCCTTCTTGTAAAATCAGAAGAGATAAAAAGAACACGTAGTCGATAACACCTAAGTTTGGTATGCTGGTGCATTCAAAGGCTAAAAGCCTAATATCATAATTAAATTGCGAATCTGTAATAATTATAATCATACGATCAAAGCCGGATTAAGACTTTTAAGAGGCCCTAAGCATTTACTTTCCCAAAATATATATACAGTATAATAAAGGATGTCCCAAAATTAACGCAAGATTTGAATTCAATATAAAAGAGAGTTTTAGTCATTAGATATTTATTTTTTAAGTAAATCATAAAGTACATAGGATAGGGTTATTTATGGAATAACACATCGAGCAAATGGCCTCCACGGCTTTGCTGGCACATACGCACCCTTTCGTCGAAATTTTTCATGATCTTTCTGCATAACTGTGGCTGAATTTCGTTAATGCAGCGTTTAATTGCCTCTTGTAATGCACGTGTGGTTGTGGGATTGTTGACATAGACCTTCAAATTCAAATAATTCCATAAGATCTAATGGTGTTAAATCACATGATCTAGGGGGCCAATTCTGATCACCGAAATGAGAGATTACACGATCAGGAAATGTCTCATGCAGTAATTGAATTGTTTCATTGGCTGTATGGCATGTGGCACCGTCTTGTTGAAACCACATATTGGCCACATCAATATCATCCAATTTCGGCAGAAAGAACTGTGTTATCATGTCGCGATATCGAGCACCATTAAGTGTTGCTGCTTGACCAGCCTCATTCTCAAAAAGTATGGTCCGATGATGCCTCCTGCTCAAAATCCGCACCAAACAGTGACACGGTGGGGGTGCATTTTTTCGCTAATCACACGTGGGTTCTCCGAACCCCAAAGAGGGCAATTTTGGAGATTAACAAAGCCATCGAGGTGAAAACGGGCTTCATCGCTTAGGATTATTTTGCTCGAAAAACCAGCATCCACTTTTTGATGATTAATAATCCATTCCACGAACTCTCTTCGCTGTTCATGGTCATTAGGCTTCAGCTGTTGTGTTAATTGAATTTTGTAAGCATGAAAGCACAGATCTTTTGTGAGTATACGCTGTAGAGAGCTTCTTGAAATTTGCAATTCTTGTCCACGACGCCGAATTGATGTTCCTGGGATTTCACCAACACTCTCACGCACCGCTTCAATATTGACGTTTAAACGGCTGTTTTGGGACGACTGGTGTGTTTAGCGTCTCCAACTGATACAGTCTCCACGAATTTTTCAATTAATCTTTTCACAGTTGACGAGGTTAAAACACTATTTTTACCATATTTTGTATAAAATTTTCGAACTGCGGCCGCTAAAATTTCATTATTTTTTAAATATTGTTCAATAATGCAGACATGTTGTTCTATCATATAACGCTCCATTTTCACTAACCCTAAACTCTCGGCTTTCAAACTGTTCTTTTTTCAGGGTTGCCAATAACTTAATGCAAAAATAGCGCCAAATTCAAATCTTGCGTTAATTTTGGGACACTCTTTACCCGTTTCCTTCCAATTTCTTCTCCCTCGAAATTGGTTTAGCTACACCATACATTTCATGGTAAAAGCATTTGTGGTGCCCCCTTCCTGTGAGTTCCAAGAACCTTTTTGTGTGATCCCGTTATCTTTGATACCTTAAGCATAAGCTTATTTTGTTAATCCTGCTCTGCGGTATCATAGTACTTCACTAATTCTGACTAGTTGTTTACATAGGCAGTGTTAAAATATTTTTCATTATAAACTTTTTATAAAAGTCTTTTAAACAGGCAGTATGCAAAGTAGAATTGTAGTTTTGAATGACCTTTTGTAAAGAATAATCACATCTTATGCAATCTTATGCAAATGATGATCATGTAAGTGAAAATAAGCGAAAGATCCGAATTTGAATCTCTATGAAGGCACAGTTGATTTTTCATCTTTTCCACTTTAAAAGCCCAATAAATATCTACATTATGCATTTTTTTAAATTTAAGAAAACAAGCGCAAAACTCCTCTTATTCCACAAACTTACAGAAGTAAGTAAATAACCGCTTTTCTTTACCTGAAAAACTGAACAGGGCATGGAAAGAATAAACAAGAATGGTCCTTCGTTATTTGCTTCTACGGTATACAAAATGTCTCAATAGGAATACATTCTCTGGCATTGACAAAAAAGGAATAAACTAAGACAGCTAATAGGCTTAAATAGGCAAAGAAAGACTTTCATTTGATCTCCGAAGGATTAGGAATGTTTTATTCTTTGAGATGAATTAAAATTCACTTTACAAGTTCTCGGTCAAGCTAATGGTTCCGCAGTAGAAGATTATTGCTTCAATTTCACCATTTGGAAAAAGCATAGTAGCCGGAAAAAAAAAAAAAAAAAAAAAAAAAAAAAAAAAAAACCAAATAGAACGCGTACAATACTGAACGAACAGAAAAAAAGGCTTTACTAGCAGAATAACGTTAGTACCAAAACTGTCTGTCCAAGAGGGAGAACAACAAACCAAAGAACCTTAGTATGGAATATGATCTCTCCTAACTGCAATGCCTGTTTGGCGCTATCTGTCGATACTCAGCACTAGATTTGTCTGGTGTTCTCCAAAGGGTAAGATCGTACCGTCAGGTGTCTCCCTGGAATACATGTTCACTGGGGTTAAATTAAGGAAGTTTGCTGACCAGCCCATTCTGTGGATGTTTTCGTTTTCCAGACGCTCCAAAACAGCATGAGTCGAGTGTGGTCGTGCATTGTCATCCATAAAAAAGCAAAGTCGGGACAAATGGCATCACGGAAAAGATGAATGTGGTGACGGATAACTTTATCATAAAGATCTCCGTTAAGTTTGCCGAAAATTTGTCTGTTCATCATAATACCGCTTTATATAAGCACGTCAGGATCACCCCAACAGTCTCTTTCCCCTGATGTATTAGGAGGAAGACTTGTTTCTATCTCTCTCCATATCAACTGGAGCCGAAAATCGTTTGTCAGACTGAACGACTCTCATCAGTAAAGAGGACATGACTCCACTGGTCAGCTGTCTACTCGTCGTGTTTTCTTCACCACAGTAAACGGTGCCTCTCATGGGCTTTTGTTAATGGTATTCAGCGTTCAGGATGCCTGACGAAGAGATCGCCTTTATGAAGTCGTCTGGTCACAATAAACTAGGATACTTGTCGTCCGACTGTGATGCAAAACTGCAGAGAGATGTTACCCGCTGTCTGGTTTCGATCTTTTTTTGCCTGCAGGACGATATAGTGGTCATCAGTTACCGTTGTTTATCTTGCCCGACCACCACCAACTTTTCTTGCAGCTGTATCTGTCGTTTGGAAGGTTTCCCGAGCTCATGAAATACTTTTAATCAGTTCCGAAGTCTTGGGCGACAGATGAGAAACTACACCCGTTCTCAAGCTTGATAATCATTATGCCACGTGTAAAGGCGTAAAATGTTTTTATGCAGTTGAATAATTTAATTATATTAAGCAATAAAATGTCCTCTCAAACTAATAATACAGCAGACAGTATTTAATATATACCTAATTTATATAGCACAAAAAGGAAAAAAAAAAATCAATAGCAATAAATTTTCTCATCAAATAGGTATTTAATATCAATCGTTAGAAACAAAGTTTTACATATTAATTATAAATATGAATTTTTATTTAAGTGTTATTTATTAAAGTTTCATGTTACTCATTCGATAAGAAAAATTTGGTATGTATTAAATGATGAGAGAACCGTACTGAATTAAAATTAGGATAAAGGTAATAAAGAATTAAAATTTGATGTTTTGCAAAGCGCTTTATTATGTAACATATCATGTGTATGTTGTAATTGTGAGATGTAATTATCTCAAGCAAGAATTTTGCATTACGTGTTTTCCAGAGTCAGGATTTTCGGGTCAAAGGATTTCAAACGAAACCTTGTGAAAGACGGGACAAAATGCGGTTACTGGAAGGTAATTGATATATAATTATTGAATATTTTAGATTAGTATTTTATTCTAAGTGATTATGAAACCAAACGGTAAGATATTTCTAATTATCTTTTAGCTATGTGTGAATCAAACATGTACCAGTGTCAAGGATATAGTATCAGGAAATTGTCCTTCGGTAGATCCCGAGCTGATGTGCTCCGGACATGGAGTAAGTATGTCTATGAACAAGTGCAGCGCTTTAAAAAACAGAACAACAACACCAAAAAAAAGCATTTATCATACACAGATATGCCATTGATTTATCTGTTTCATGATTTTCAGTTTGCTATTACTTTTTGAAATGCTTTCTTATATCCCTAACATTTAGACAAATTCTTAACAATGTGAGTTAAATTTACAATACTTTCAATACACATTGCTTAAGGAAGTGGGCTCTTTTTAGGTTATGTTAATTTGAGTGTGGCAAAGCATTCGGGAACTATCTGCCTGAGGGGAAGGATGCCTTCGTGGAGGACTTTCTAAGGAAAACTGGCTCGTAATACACGTTATTCATGGGGAAAACCATGAAAACGTCCGTGCAGCCCGTTCGCCGAAATTCAAACCTTGGACCGAACTACAGTGTTCAGCGACTTTACCGCTCCACCGCTGGTGGGCGCGGTCTCTTTTTAACACGCAAATTTACATATTGTTTTAATTTCAGGTTTGTACTAACATAAACACGTGCGTCTGCGACGAAGGATGGAAAGGATTAGAATGCAATATAGTCGATGAAGAAAATAAATGGAGAACCACAAACGAAGATTCTGAATATTATGATTCAATCCAAGAATCAAATATGAAACCTTCTTATAAAGGTAAAAATTCAGTTTTTTATGCAAATATTCAATATATAACTTCTATCAGAGAAGTGTATGCACTACATGTCGCCTTTCTATCTAACCATTCTTACACATGAACTAATAAAGGAATTAGTTAATTATATGTTCAGTAAACGCGGCTTTTTGCGTTGCGATTTCCAGGAACCACAGCAAATACAACTGCCGCTTATTAAACTGCTGCACAAATCAACAGAACAACTACCGCTTATTAAACTCAGATTGTCAAATGACTGATTCTTCAGTGCCAGAATATCCTATTTATGCCTATTAAAAATTTCATAGTTCATCCATTTAATGTATTTTGGATTGTTGCTTTATTTTTCAGGTATGTAATGCTTCAATAAAACGGATTTGACAGAAAATTCCTTACCTCTTCTCTCCTGTACTTGTGAGACACTGTTTTTAGAGTTCTTTGTTTGCACTGGACTCAGTAGCAGAATTTCCTTATCTTCAGGTTAACAAAATTCTCTACAGACATTGTAAATGAGTGAGGGTTCTTTGTCGAATACCATCTGATAGGAGATAAAAGAGCAACTTCTGTATCCCATTCAAATTGTGGAGCTAAATGGATCTCCAAGCCCACTTGTTGTAACTGCGGTAGGGAACATGCGGCAAATTATACGAAATGTCCTAAAAATCTTCTAAATTCTAGGCAGCGATGTTTTCAAAATAGAAAGGCAACTGTTTCCAGACCACCTGGTGAATCAATTGACTTCAGAACGCAAAACCAGGAAATTCCTGTCTCCTACAAGGTATCTGAAAGTGCAGAGATCACAAAAAAATTATATTTTCTGAGAGGTCAAATTTCTCAATGAAGAAATTGTGAAACAGAAGTAACACTATTTCTACTGTCATTACTGAATGTTACCGTGGGATCTTGGACATCAAGAAAATATTTACTGATTTTTCCTATTTCGGATGTCTTACAAACAATTACCGGTAAATTAGATGATATAAAACAAGCTCCTACACCCGTAAATAAATCCTTTGCCCTTTTCAATGTGTTCGAAGATTTACTCAGCAGAAACCCCTACGTAGAGGTGATTAACTTATTCTCGATAATTTACTTTATTGTTAGTGTACTTACCGTAATCTTTGGTTTTTATTATTTATCTTATTTGGCTTTATTTTAAATTTTCGTTTTAAATTTATATATGTATTAGGTAAATCTTTGGTCTATTCTCATGAAATTCGTGTATTTTTTAACCATTGGTAAGATGCCATATTTAGCTAACATTTATTTTTGTCCCTACACTGTTATATTCTATTCTGTATGCTGTTATATATTTCTCAATTTGATCTTCCACGTAACTCACCATCTCTACGGTTTGCCTATAGTTTTTATGCCGTTTACTTTCTAACAGCATTAGGACTGTAATTTCACTATTCCGTAATATCTGTAGTATTTCATTGCTATGTTCGCAAGCACATAACTTTTTGATGGAGGTATGTCTTAACCTTAATCTCGGGCACGGCACTGATGTTCGAAAATGTCACGCCCGAGTATTACTCGGGGTAATTTTTTTTTTTTTTTTTTTTTTTTTTTTTTTTAAGTGCATAGTATTGTTATACCCGAATATATATCGGGAGACGTTTATTTCGGCTTCATCTCTTTGTCTAACCCGAATGTATCTCGGGAAAAGTTAATGTGCGCTCAATTCAATAGATGACAGCACTTTACTGAAGATTTTAAAGGTTAGAGGTTATAAATTCTTTAGTTCAATGTGCACGGGATCTTTTTGTTGTAAAATGGCGTCCAGTTCTTTGAAATGTTATATAGATGATTTAGATTCTTCAACCGAAGATGAAGGATGTGTGTTTGCTGAGCAGTATTCATGATACTTCCATGGTCAGCCTTAAAAATTAAAAAATGAAGATATACTCAAGTGGAAAATTGTCTCTGGCTACAGTCTAACTACGGGTGGTGCAGATCACCGTGATCAGGAAATATCCTTTCATCCAACAATCCGAAAACGTCAGAAAAAATATTATAAAAAGATATTTTTACATTTACTAGACAAGGTACTCTGGAACTCATATTTGCTCTATAAAAATGTAGTTGGGAAACGTATTACATTTTTAGAATTTTGAATCCAAGTTGTAGAAGAGTTTTTACATAAATATGGTGATGCAGCTTTTGGACAAAAGAATGTTGGCAGACCACCTAACAATAGATAACCCTGCCCATCTTATTGAACGAACATTTTATTTCCCGTATTCCTTCCAACTCCTGTGGAACGTGAGGCCTACAAGGACAGTGCAAAGTGTGTTGTTCAAAAAAGGATAAAAATGGTGAAAAAGATAAGGAAGGAAACATGATTCTGGTGTAGTGATTGTGGAGTTGGTTTGTGCTTGGAAAAGTGTTTCCAGTTGTACCACACGAGATTGAATTACTGAACTACTAATAGGTATTCACTTTTATTTATTTACTATTTTTCATTTATTTATTTTTTAGAAAATAATTAATTTCTTTCATTTTTAGAAAAAAATGCTCCACTAGAAGCGAACTTTACAACTGCCATGTTGAGTGGCAGCCGCCTCAAGCAAATATGCAGTAGCTACAAGACTTTAAAAATTTTACCCATGTACTTCAAAATATCAATTTTTAACTACTTAAGTATATTTTATTTTGTACCAAACATTTGATTTTTCCAATAAAAAATTTGACAATTCCTATACCCAAATCATCAAAATAACTTGACAGTTAAAGGGTTAATACGTCATAATTTTCTTAGCGGGATTACTCAAGCCTATTTATTGGCAAGTAAAATTTGAAATTACACCAAATTAAAACAAAAAGGCTAAGGTAATAGCATTAATATAATTTTACTTATTCATGGTGTATAACCAATATTTTACCCGTCAATAAACTTTATATCTTAGCTTAACACAAAAGTTAGATACTTCCTCATTAAAGTAGCCACCGCATTCTCTGGTGACAATTAAATCTGCATATTAAAAATTTGGTAATTAAATTTACCAACTCTGGAAGTACCAAACAGTTATTTTTTTATTCAACCATCTTCTGGAAAAAATACATTATGTTTTCCTAAGAACTTTATAAAAATGATAGCATGCTGTAAATAATAATGTATAATAATTTTATTCTGAGATTTACTAAAACATGAAAATTATTGTAAGGATTCGGTGAGCGTAAAAAGTTTGAAAAGTGCTGCTTTCTCTCCCTATTCACAGTTTCCACAAAAGTGATTACCCAGTACTTATTTTTGCAACATATACTTATAGACATATACTTCCAGTTCCAAAAATATGTTAAATGAAGCAAATATCCATGCTTTCATATTCTTTAATTTAAAAAAATGTTTAAGATACGAAATCTAACATTTTATAGAGGGTGATTCTAAATTGCTTTTACAAATTTAGAGAGGTGATAATGCCCATCCAGACGAGCAATAATTACCATAGAACTTAGAATCGCATTCCACACTGAGAGGCAAAAAAGGGGAATATCAAAATTACAACCTGCTTACAACAGTGTTGGGAAAGCGAATGAACGAGACCAAAAATTGAGCAGTCAGATTTATTGTTTAGTGAAAAACTTTCAGAAAGTACTCAAAATGCACAGTTGACATTGGAAGGAACGACTGGCGCATCCTTCCGAAGATTCCTGGTGTGGTGTTAATTTTGTTCGCGAAAACGACGATTCTCGCCATGAGATCTTCAGCTGAGTCCACAGGTGTCTCGTACACTAAAGATTTCATCTGCCCCCAGAAGAAAAAAGTCCAGTGGGTTGAGGTCCAGTGAGCTAGGAGACCAAGCCACAGGTCCGCCACCTCCGATCAATCATGCGGGATATGTGGCATTCAAAAGGTTACGGACCGTGACGGGAAAATGTCCTGGGGCTCCCGTGCATAAACCACATGTCTCTCTGAATGGGAAGCGGAACAGCCTGTAATAAACTGGGAAGTACTTGTTCGAAGAAGATACGGAATGTTGCGCCGGTCAAACGGTCTGGCACGATGTAAGGGCTTGCCAGGTAATCACCTAGGATACCTGCCCTAATACTTGAAGCGATGATGTGTCTTTTTCAAGCACACTGTTTGCTCTGATTGGCTTTCTCCGGTACCAACTAAGAGCAAAATATTGCTTCTTCTCAGTGCAAATTTGCATATGGTTAATTCTTGATAGTCTTAGGAGGTAGATAGTCTCCTTGTCCTCCCTCGATGCGTCTCTACTTTCGTGTTTTCTACCTCTCAGAGTGGAATGCGACCCTATGTTCTATGGGAATTATTGCTTGTCTGGAGGGGTACTATCACCCCTCTTAATTTGTAAAAGCAATATAGAATCACCTTGATATACAATCACCTTGTATATTTCCCCACTCCTTAAACTTATATTTAGGAAAACTGTAAACTGATTTTAAAAAATAACATGCATAAAGTTTGACTCCCATATGAAAAAAAATGAGTGAGATATTTTATTTCAAAATTTGCGATTTTTGATGCAATTTTGAATTTGCCTTGAAGCATCAGTTAATAAATTAGAATACTTCAAGGTTGATTTTTTCCCCTTAAGTGGCATTCAATTATACGCTCTTGTGATTTAGTAATTTAAATTTAAATTTTATTTTATTTTAAAAATTTGTTACACTGGCACGTCGAAAGAATTTTCACACAAGTAATTTATATTTTCAAATGCTAAAAATATGTTATTAGTATTCGCATGCAGTTTTACTACTTTATAATAATAATCTAATAATGATGAAAAAATAATTAAAATAGATCATTTGTTTTATTTTTAATTAATAAAAAGAATGTTATTAAATGGCTGTGTACCAATATTGGAACTACTCTAGTGTTTTCTAGAATAACAAGTTCTTTAAGATTCTGCGCATAAGATCGCCATTTTGAAAAATATTTCATTAATAAATACTTTTTACAATAATCTACACATAAATGCTTGTTTTTTAACCTATTAACGAGAAAAACATTTCTCTTAACTGATATTTTATTTTTAATTTCGTATAAATCTGAACATTTCAGTCTTCAGTTTGTGTATGGCTCTTGAATATCATTTGCAGCTTTAACATCAAATATCTCGGTCAATTTTTGTGGTATGGAAGTCACAATTTTTGCATTTTTTTTAAAATTTTATTTATTTATTACTATTATTATTATTATTATTTTTAATGATCAACACAAAATTTTCCCAAAACAGAAATATAGAGACTGAAGCAATGTATAAAAAGCAAGATTTTATAATTTTTATAAAGTTTTAAATAAAAAAATATCGCAACATGAATATATACATCATTTAAAATGTTTCTGTATTTAGAAGTATATTGTACCGTAAGCGTACCTCCGAGATGGGAAATAATCAGACCAGTGGTCTTTTATATATTTATTTTAAAACTTAAATAAAGATTTCTGAGTTAGATATAAGTAAAACATCAGCATAGTACCAGTAATAACAGACTAAGCTACCACTTGATGTGGATCAGAGAATCGCTTGTTGCAACTTGTACGACTTTTTTTGGACAAAAGCCTCTTCCTTTCCTTTTACGTTTTCGTCGCAAGGAAACCGCACAGTAGGGATGTCCTTAACGAGTTTCCTTAGTTGATTACTTTCCAGTCATTTAGCGAACCCCGTGGTTCTTTCTCAAGAGAACAGGAAGTCCTCTAATTTAAACCTGACGTTCCATCAAACCTGAGAATCGTTACAATATGTCTACGACCAATGGTTTCGAATATAAAACCTGAGTAAACTTTTGTGAACAGGTTGTGTACATATATTAACAGATGTGCTGATTGCGATCTGTATGCTAAAGACCTCGGCTCTAGTTACAAAGTAGGCAAAGGACTCGGGTTCAAGTTTGAAGCCCTTAAGTTGAAGCCAAAGTTTCATGTTGAACCTTTTTTTTTTCACAAACGAATCGAGGTTTTAAAGTTTTTTAGTTACTGACTTAATAGCGTAAGCAATTATTATTACACTTCCTTGAAAATGACTAGCATTTCTAAGAAGATAATAAAATAACTCTATAGAACATGATTGATAGTTAATTTCTAAAGCAACCGCCACAGCAAAAAAAATCAAAACTGCTCAGAACCACAAGCGTTCATTTTAGAGAAGATTCACTACATATATTAAATGTCATAAAATGTGTACATAATGAAATTACTGTTTTCATGATATAAAATTAAACATGATTTCATTATTACAATTTTTAATAATTTCTCTCATCCTCTTTTACAGGTCGAAATGAATTGAACCTTCATCCGAACTTAGTCATCATAGTTATTGCTGCATCAATAACTATTGGCCTAAGTCTTTTACTTATCTTGTTTCTATTTATTATTTACAGGTATTGATATTTATAAATCTTAATAAACTTCGTGTTAATGAAAGAAAATAAATTGCATATTAGATATTAAAATAATGTTTCCAGTAGACAGAAATAATTAGTAACACTGCATGAAATTACAAACATTTTTATGAGGATACATAACTCTTAATAGTTAAGCGCTGAATTTTAATAATCCACGAATGCCTGTAATCTGTGCTCATTTTGTATGCAAACAAACAAAATTTCGGTTTTTAGAAAATTTATCATGTTAGCAGTAATTTTTTCATATATAAATATGCGATACAATCTTCAACAGAAATACGATTTATTTATAGGGCATTTTGATTGGAGAAGTGAGTTTGTTTCAGCATTAAAGATTATTTCGCGTGTTCTGTGCGATGATCGGAGCTCTTGTTTTACAGTTAGTACAAATTGTGAATTTTGCAAATGTTTCATTTTAGGTAAATGCCTTCTTTTGGATTTAAAACTCCGCTATTTTTTAAATTAATTCTGCCTTTATGTGGTAAACATACTGAGTAATTTATTTTATCTACAAATTTTTTAATATTGATTTTAAACTTAAATGCACCTAGCAGTTATTCTGTTTAAATTCTAAAGAAGCAAACATGTTTATATATTTTTGAATATATAAGTGATCTTGATCGCGAAAAAAAAAAAAAAAAAAAAAAAAGAAAAAAGAAAGAAAGAAAGAAAACCCACACTTATAGAGGTTTTTCTGTCGTTAAAAATAGAAAGCATGGTAATGAAAAACGGGCTAATAAAACCCAAAATTTCAATTCTGGCACTAACCACAAAGCAAGGTCGCATGTAGTAATTCGATCTGGGTTTATAAAGATCATGTATTATAACTAAGTTTCAAATTCCGGTAGACTGTACGGGCTGCATAGGAGTTTTTGTTTTTTTACAAATGTATGTGTAATGTGAAAAAGATTTGGGATACAAGTCAGTTTATTTCAGAAAGTCCTCCACAAAGGCATCTCTAACTTGAAGTGGATAGGCCTCGTGTGCTCTGTCATAGTCCATATAAAGAACCAAACTCAATTCTATGGATAATTAACAACTGTTAGTAATCCAACTACACATGCGTGGAACATAATGGCGAGATTACCATATTACCTATGGTAATATTGTAAGATCTATCTCTAGTTGTCCACATACACTAACTTAGATTCTACAATGAACCTGGTGAATTCTCGCACAGACGTGAATTAAATACCAGCACAGAAGAAGGGTGCAAAATAACCCTTTATTAATTCAAATTAAATTAGGAGAAAACACGGACTTCGTGCGCTACAAAACACCGTTCACTTGCGGCGATAACTAAACGTAGACTAGAATACAAATCAAATTCTGAAATATAAACAAGTGCAAGAACGCACTTCAAAATTACTCCTAAGCGATGGACTCACGGAAATCTAACCGGCGTGATACTAAACAAATATGGCCAAGAGGCTTACTAGCGTGACCGAGACATAACAATGAAACGTGCGTTAGGCTAGCGAAACACGCTCTGAATAAAACTGAGATAAACACACGTTTAAATAGCACTTCACTTTACATCCTGGCGAGAGAATGTGAGGGGAAGTTTGAGAAGTTGAGAACAGGAAAACTTAAAATAAATTTGTTATGCAAATTAAGAAAAACCCTACAATATTACCCTATTACCATAGAGATACAACTTAGGGGAATCTTACTGCAGAGATTTCAGTAAACAGAGTATTTATTACTTTGAAAGAAATTTTGCTGGTAAATATACTTTTTTAAAAAACATAAAATATTTTAGTGACCTTTAACAAAAAGAATATATATATATATATATATATCCGTGATTTTTTTTTTCTCTCCTTGTTTATCCTTTCTCCTATTTGCTACATCTCTTTACTCATACTAGCATTATTTTCTTTGTATATAACTGGATTTAAAAAATATATTAGTTCTGTATTCTAAAATTGTTGATTAACTAATTCTTAAAAATAGAGTACACTTTGATAATTACTTATGTAGAAGCAATCCAGATGATACGTAAAAATTATAACGCGAAAAAATATAAACAAGGCTCAGAAAGACATGAAATATAATCTGCAAAATATTCCGCTTTGCACATTGCTCGGTCCCAAAGTGTGTGAGCTATTGGAATTCCACAATGTTCTATAATTCAATAGAAACGTTTTTCTGCAAACTGTAGAATATTAAATGTAAAAACACAGTATTACATTGAATACTGCATGAAAAATACCAAAAACTACTACTTCCACAATTTTAGAGAAAGTCAAATTAAGTTTCTTTCACTTAGTTACACTTTTGTGATGCCGTTTTAATTATTTAAGTATCATGATTATTTTTTTTTCTTATTTATCAAGCATAAGAAAAAAAATTTTAATTTTCAATTAAAAATATTCTTAAAATATTAAACTTGTGTTTAACATTATTATAAATGTTTTAAACTTTTAATATTTTTAAATATTTAAATCCAGTTTGCAGATAACTTTTTAATCATTGTATTTTTTATTTTAGAAAATTATGAGAAGCAAATGAATCAACACATGATAAAAGAAGGATATTCATCTTTTCATCTATTTCATCATGGATTCTGGATTTATATTTGGCATTTTATTAACAGAAGGAAAGATGAAAATCTACAGGACTTCACCTACATTATTTCATGTAATTTTAATCAGCATTTAAATAAAAAAAAAAAAAAAAAAAAAAAAAAAAAAAAAAAAAAGCAATACCAAAAAATATTAATGTACTGGTAATTAATTTTTGCTTAAATTCTCAGAAATTCCAAAACTCCACCAATATGGTTCACTTAAAGAATTTTTTCATCTAAGATAATGCTGAATGCTCAGACTGAGAGTTTTTACAGACACTGTGTATGGATACAAAGTTTATATATAAAAAAGGAGAAGAACAATCTTTGATATTATATTCAAGTTTTTCAATGAAATTTTAAATGTAAAACTAATTTAATGATTTTTAACTGAATCCGTTAGATGACCCAATATAATAAAGAAGTTTTAAATGGTTTAATTGAAAATCCCAACCTGATAAAGTGCATATGGGTACTTTTCCGTTTTGCTGGCACAGGCGATAAAGTCGTGAGTAATGGTACAACTGATGCCAAACGGAATATCCTCCCTGGTAACCTTTCACGTTCTCATTTCAAAACAAATCGCAGCCATTTCTTATCAGATTGATTGTTGCTTTCAATACTGGCATACAATTACATAGAAATTTTACCCATATAGTTCAATTTTATGCCCTTAAGGCCATTCGCGGTAATTAAGTCAATGAGGATGCAATCACACCGCTCACCCGAAGGCGAAAATATAGAAAAGCCAAGGGTTAAATTCATCAATTCTAATGATAATGCACTAGCGAAGTAAAGCACTGCGGTTTTGCATAATTTCTGAGTAAGCTCTTCGTACGAATTGAAGTAATTCTTGCATTTAAACTTCTATTCGAAATTAAGATTTAAATTGAAATTAATGTAGATAATTACTGGGAGAATTAGATTTTTGTAGCGTAGTTTACGTGAGATGAGATCACTAGGAGTCAGGTGATATGAACCGGCGAATCAGGATGTTGAACCATGAAAGCGTAGTAAATTCTTAAATTAATGTCTTTTTACAAATTTATTGGCTTTTTACAAAATTTTAAACGATATTAAAATGTTTATGTCTTCAAAATAAAAAATTCTTAGAACTTAACATTTGTTAACATTTTTTATGTGTATACTGTATGTTGTCGCCAATAAAGTCTGCTTGGCGAGATTTGCGTCGGCGAAACGAAAAAGTATCTACATATGTAACAAAATGAATTATTAGAAGATCCAATGTAATAAAGTAGAAATTACTTTTCCATAATATATAGTTATGGAAGTTAAGTTCTTGAGAAATCCCGTACTATGACAGGCTATAGAAATACAAGCTAATACACAGACAGCTCATGATTTTGAGACTGTAACCAACATAATGAAATGTAACTCAAATACTTATTTTACAGAAGGATAAATATAATAAAGGAAATAAATGCATGCACGCATGCTAATTGTTTTTTCTTACCTTAACTGCTGTTAAAAACAATAACGTGTGATGTTTTAATTAATTTCCAAACTACTATCTTTTGAAGTTTCTTTATTCAGTAACATCAAGACTCCCCCCCCCCATTAAATCTGAAATTTCAATTTGCTTATGTTTTTGATAGATAAGTTCTGCAATATAAAGGTTAACATTCGTGAAGATTTAATTTAATTTTCTTCTTAAGGAGAGGCAACTATATTCAGAAAATATAATTTCAGTCACCTAAATTAGCCCAACTTATCCCTTCCTCTATGCTCTTTAAGGCAAAATTTTGAACTTCATAATTTTCATTTGCGCAAATATTCTCTTAATTCACGTTGTGATCTTAAGGCACAGTTTCAAACAAATCAACTTTATCAATCCCTTCTAAACATATTTATTAAATGTCTCCTTCACCAACTATCAGAATCTACCACTCCTAGTAAGCTTGTAAAGTTCAACCATTGCTCCAAAATTTGAAAATTTACTAAAAAAGCAGAAATTCCGCTAAATATATTTTTCCAAACAGGACTTTAAAGTTTTAATTTTTATAAAGACATGACGTTGCATAATTCGATGCTGAAAATCAGCTCCTAAAACTTCACAATTGTAAAATATTCATCAATTTTTTTTTTCCAAATTACCAATTACCGCTTGATTTTATGAGAAAATTTTAAATAGCCTTTTTAGAACACAATTATAATTCAATGGCTTATCAGGACTTGTATTCCTCTTGATTTGCTTTGGGAACATGAATGGTCCTGAATAAGAACAGGGAGCTTACTCAAACTATATTCAGGAAGGTGTGAAATAGACAACACAAGCAGGAAGGGTATACGAAACCCTTTATTTTCTATCTTTACAGGTATTTCCGGAACTTCGGAATACAGAGACGAACCACTTGTGGTCTGAACGTAAGAATATAAAAACTCTAATTAAAACTAACTTTGAATTAGTATGCAAGTGCCTAGCATTAAGATTGGCCTTTCTTTTAACAAAGGTCCGTATGTAGTACGCCGAGCTGCTAAAACTACGATACGTTTGCAATTATCAAGAGGACTAAACCTCTGGCCTTGAAGGCAACCAGCAACAGAGCGAAAACTTGTAAAACTACAATGGCAAGCGGCTTGCTTCCAATAATTCCTTCCTCTCTCTTGCTTGGCAAAAAGCCACAACTTAAGTACTTAGCGTTAGCAAGGCAATTTGCATAAATAAGTTAAAGCGTTTAATTCTGGCCGGAAGTAGAAAATAAGAAGTGACAGTACAGTTTTAAAATAAAATAAACGTTAGTAAAACTTAGGATCCTTACAGGCTGAATTCATTTGCCAGTGTTTGGTAGCAGGAATATTAATTTAATATTTCAGTAATTTACTACAACTCTAAGATCTGCATTTATTTTAAATTTAGGTAATTTTCTGCTTTTCATATAAAACAGTTAAGAAAACACTTAAAAAAAATCATTTGCTTTGCAATTTTTTGGGGTCTGCATCTCGGTAATATAGTCTCATAATAATAAATAAATCGGTAATAAATCGATAATAAAACAAATTCCAAGCTTCAAATTTGGACCCCTAGATGCCCATATTCGCAAGGGGATTACATTACTCAGAATTTGATGGCCCTAGGTACCGTTGTTTTATCCCAATGCGAGAAACATACATACATTTATGCAGATTCTTCATTATTTAATTTCTTTAAATATAATACAGGGCGATAATATTTGATGGCAACAATTTGAAAAGTGACTCGCCGAATGCCAAAACGGGAGAAAATAAAATAAAAGAAAAGAAAGAAAGAAATTCATCCCGATGATAGAGAGGAAACTGCGTTCACTACCGGTCAAGGACTCTGGCAGTTTAAAGTTATGCCTTTTAGACTCTGTAACGCCCCTGCAACATTTGAACGCCTGATGGAGACAGTGCTTCGTGGTCTATCTTACGAATCATGTCTGGTCTACCTAGACGACATCATTATAGTGGGTCGTACTTTCGAGGAACATCTAGAAAATATCAGGAAGGTGTTCCAGAAATTGAGAGATGCCAACCTTAAACTGAGTCCTTCGAAATGCAAGTTGTTCCGCAGTGAAGTTACCTATCTCGGGCACTTCATCTCTGCCGAAGGTGTCCGCACAGATCCAGAAAAGGTGTCGGCAGTTAAGGACTGGGAACGTCCTGTGGATATTCATCAACTACGGGGTGTCCGCCGATAACATCGCGGCAAAAACATCGCGGACGAAAACGTCGCGGAGAAAACAATGCAAGGCAAAAACGTCGTGCTACAAAACATCGTGGAAGAAAGCATCGCAAAGAGAAAACATCGCAGTTCTTAAACATCGTGGTACAAAACATCGTCGTCGAAAATAAAGCGGTTCATAAACTTCGCAGTTTAAAAACATCGTCGTCGAAAATATCATGGCAAAAAATAAAGTGTTTACAAATCATCGCATGACGATAACATCGCAGACATGCTTTTTTCAGGTTTTAATAATTGTAAATGGATATTCCCATAATGATTTGTGAGCGCAAGATGTGAAGAAGGATAATTTTTACTTTCACATTTTTATTAACTAATAAATTTTTGCTTAAAATGTAAGAAGGAAACTTAAGCATAGAAAATTAAATGCAACTTATAGATTATACTTTTCATCAGAAAATACCAGTAAAAACTTTATAAAAATGATTTATTAATGGCCTATGTCGTTTTAATTAATTAATTTTAGTTAACTATGTCGGTTTAAAATTCTATTAAGTGCTATAAGTTGCATTAATTTTCTATGCTTAAGTTTCCTATGCTTATTTTCTCAGCAAAAATTTATTAGTTTATAAAAAAGTGTGAAAGTAAAAATTATCCTTCTTCACATCTTGCGCTCACAAATCATAATGGGAATATCCATTTACAGTCATTAAAACCTGAAAAAAGCATGTCTGCGATGTTATCGTCATGCGATGATTTGTAGACACTTTATTTTTTACCACGATATTTTCGACGACGATATTTTTAAACTGCGAAGTTTTTGAACCGCTTTATTTTCGACGACGATGTTTTGTACCACGATGTTTTAGAGCTGCGATGTTTTGTCCCACGATGTTTTGTAGCACGACGTTTGCTTCTGTTCTCCCGACGTTTCGTCGCGATGTTTCGGCGTACCAATACGGCTTCTGGATCGTCGTATTAAGAAGATGTGAAGCATTCCAGATTACAGATCGATAATTACAAAGTAACAAATCGTACTGAGGATGGAGAGATCCTTAATCCTGAGGCGATGATAGTTGTGGTTTATCTTATTTGGAAAAGTCTAAAAAAATATCATACCAATTTAACCCCAGAACAGCCGAGAGATGGCAGCACATGATTACAGACCACAAAATTCTATCCCAAGATTCTCAAGGAGAGAGTCAGTCGTCGAACGCGCGCGATGGTGCACGTGTGTAGTTTGGAGGTGAAGATGAAATAAAAATTGTTAAGTTTGAAATGTTGAATCTAATTTGATCTTCCTAAATAATTATCATAGATTCTTAACAATGGTGACCCGGCCTTGCAGCAACCAAGCGTTATTGTTTTAAACTAATATTTGCACGGAAAAAAAAAAAAAAAAAAAAATTCTCTTTTTTTTTTACATATTACTTGGGACTTAGCCACGTGACTGGAAATGACTGAAGGAACA